ACTAATTCTGCTCTGTGTAGTCACTTCTGCAAAATTTCTATATCCTTGGCAAAAAATGGTGAATTATCCTGCAAGTGTGTATGTATGTGTGTGTGTATGTGTGTGTGTGTGCACTCTTTCTCATAATCAGTAACTCACCTATAATTGTGCAATATGCAAGTTTAAGTCTTGCAACCCTATGAGGGCAGATGTTAATATCCCCATATCCCAATGGGAGTAGTCTTTGTGATGCTTCAGGGTTGGGCAGGAACACAGGAAATGTTGAATTAGAAGGGATTCACATAGGTGAAAAAATATATATATATATTTGGTGACTGGCACAGAAGGAAATGAGGGCTGTTCAGGATGTATCTGGTTTGAGAGGTACTGAGGGGACACTGTCACTCCCAAGGGGCCATGAGATGCACCTGCTGGTGCCAGGCAGACACTGTGCATGCGTGCAGGGGGTTGGGTACTCAGAAACAGCTTCAGAGTGATGAAAAATGACAAGTGGCTAACTATCACCCTCAGGGTTGGGATTACAGCCCAGAACAGCAGAGGCTGAGGTGGAATGTCGAGCCCAGGCCACATCTAAAGGAGCAGCTTCTTCTCAGCTCAGTCAGTGGTTATTGTCATAATTTTGTTTTTCATCTTGATGCTGAAAATCTAGATTCTATTACATTTCCTCAATTTCAAGTATTGATATTTAACTTAAAATTTTTCAAAATCTTGTGCCTGCCAAACAAGACATATAGGACACATTTATCCCCTCAACCGCTAGCTTTTAACTCCCCTAAACGTGGAGACCATTGGTTTTGTGGTGGAGCTGCTGCCTCGCCCTGCTGGCGTGGAGCAGGAGTGAACCTGCAGCTCCTCCTGCTCCCCCCAGATCTCTTCCTTCAGCTTCTCCAAATGCTGGGCCAGGTGTTTGTGGAGCTCTGTGTTGCAAGGTGGCAGCTTACCCTGCAGACACCCACGGCATCGAGGTTGGAGGTGGTGAGAGACAGGCATGAGTTCTGTTTTGTTCTCTGGAGTTCTAACTGGTCCTTTCTCTTCACTGCTTCACGTCCCTCTTTCCTTCCCAAATGCTGGCCCTTCTGACTTCGGGTCTAACACCAGGTGCAGAAGAAATAGCCTTACTGGACAGTTTAGCCAGCCTCTACACTTGCATAAATCTAGTCCCTATAGTAAATACCTTATTCAATATCATTCAGAATGGTCTGTTTCTCTGATCAAACCTAACTGATACAGAGTTTGGTTGCTACCTCCTTATATTACTGGTGAGGAACCTGGATTCCAGATAGGTGTAACTCCAGATGTACCTATCTTGTGTGCAACTCTAGATCTTGCAGTTGCTTAGCGACAGTCCTGGGAATTGAATCCAGGGCTCCCCTATCTCTGTGTTTTTTACTTGACCCCCATGCTTAAAAAAGTTGATTCTCACCTTTGTAGAATCTTCAAAGCATCTTTTCCACAAGATATTGCCTTCCCCTGGTCAAGTAACCACCGAGTCCTGTGAAATCTCCCTTCACCATAGACCTGTAATCCACCCCTTCCTCTTTTTGTACACCTGCACCCCTGTGAGTCTCACCTGTATTGTTCATACTTTACACAGAGTACTAGGAAAGAGTAGATGGTTTTCAGGAAAAATGTGAGTTAGTGAGTCATTCTAGAAAGAAGGGAAGGAAATTTTGGTCAAGGTCACAATGTACAGGATGTACAGGTCTTGTGCTAAGCACTGATGTATAAATGATCAAGATAGGAATAAGAAAATGGAATGAAGGCTCCTTTGGGTGATTTTCCCCCCAGTTGATAGTAAGTAAAAAGCTATTAAGGGTTGAATATATCTCCCCTCACTTCCCCCAAATTCATGTTGAAATTTTTTTGGAGATAGAGTCTTTACAGGGGTGATTGTGTTAAATTAGGTCATTAGGATGGGCTCTAATCTGATACGACTGGTGTCCTTATAAGAAGAGGAAATCTGGACACAGACATGAACAGAGGGAAGATGATGTGAAGACAGTTTCTGCAGTTTTTATACAACTTGAGTTTTAAGTGAGGATTCAGGTCATTGAGTTACAGATGGGACCTGTTGGTGGAAGAATTATGTTGATTGAAATCTTCAAGTCAACATACAAGAACCAATAATTAATTAGGAATGGGGAAAGGCATAAAAAGGGGAAATTTGTCCAGCTAATAAAGCCAGTTGAGTCAAGTGTAAAATTTAAATTCACAGCCCCTGCTTAGACTATCCAGTATTCAAATTTTAAAGAATTTGTTTTTGGAAGCCTTTATAAAACTCTCCACTGTTACAATGTACGCCATCTGGGATTTAGCATTTATAAAATATGCAGTTAAGAGATGCCAAGAGATTCCTCATGCAAACCAGATGGTACAATAACATCTCTGTCTTTATTTTTCTGGCAGAAAAATAGGGCTTTGAATGGCTTGAAACTTATGTGAATAAATTAAGCCCAATCAATACTTTAGGGACATTATAATTTCAATAGTCAACTTACCCACCTAAATATTTTCATAAAAGTTTTCATTTGGAGAAGAAAAAACAAAGGGCAGACAATGGTTCTCTTGATTGCTTCATGTTTATATTCTTTAAAAATGTTTATAAGGAAAACAACACCAGCGACCTTCAATGTGGAAAAGCAAGTTTCTCCTTATTTTAACAGTAACATATGTATTTAAATTAGAAATGAAGTTGTTGAAGTTTCTTTTGAATAGGAAAAATTCATATCAAATAGGTTGAATAGTTTTATTACTGTATTAAAAAGAAAAAAAAACACATGTGTAAGTGACCTTTTCTGCACAGTACATTTGAACATGTCTTTACCCAACAGATATTTTTCTCATAAATCCAAGTTCAGCACGTAACAGCAGTGTGTTAAGGATGCCTTGTTTTGCCCTTGCCTGGTTCCTGTTAAGTTTTCCATGTAACAACAGGACTTTTGTAATCCCATTTAATTTCCTTTACTTTTATTTTCATTAAAATTCATAATAAGATCCTCATTAAATGAAGTAATCTTGTTAAAAGCAATGTTCTGCTCTGATGTTTCTTTTTCCTTCTTACGTAAAAAATGTGCTTCCCCACCATACAAGTGAATTTCTTCTGTAATTAGACGTGAATAGCTTTAGAGATCAAACACAGTCTGCTTTTGAAAACCAGATCTCTTAGGACACAGAGGGCAGTCTCATTACTAAAAATATGTGTTTCTGGGCTGCACAAGCTGTTGAAATTTCTTTCCCAATTAGCAGTAAGTGATTTTTCAGAAGAAAAAGGGAGTAGTTTGGTTTTCACTTTGCTAGCATTTGTTTTTCTTAAGGGTAAACTGGGAGTATCAACCACCACTAATTTTTGTCCCTTCTTTTCTTGTCCCTGAGCAAAGGAGCACAAAAGACTTTATATAGATAAGAGTCCTACATAAATTCTTTATCTAAATGCTACTTCCTCTTGGCTGGGATTGGGCTTCATGGGAGATGGAACACCTGTTTAGATCGCCTGCAGCTGTTATGTCAGGAGAGGCTGCAAAATCATGAACACATCACTGAGAAGTTGACAATTGCTATGGGGGGAGGAAGGGACCCATTGATGGGAGAATCTCTCCAGGTGCTGCCCCTGGGACTTATTCACCCTGTTTTCTTAAGTCATTGGCAAAAATAAGTGGTGTCTGGATAGAAGGTCTTCATAAGTGAAATAGTTAAATGCTTGGGATGCCAGATAATAGGTTGAGTTTCTAGAGTTGGGGGAAAGGACAAAATAAAGGATATTTCTAGAGTTTGGGGAAAGGACAAAATAAAGGACAAAATAAAACCTACCTCTCTAAACCTAAGCAACAGTCGGGGTAGGGGGACACAGAAGTTGCTAGCAGTGTGTTTCTCTAAGTTGAGTTATACTAGTATTGCAGGGAGTATTGTATTGTATGGGACTAGTATTGTAGGAAGGTTTGGGGCAGGGTGAGGCTCTAACAGGAAGGTTGATGAGGACCTTGACTTAAGAGTCCAATCCTGGCAAAGAGGAAGTTGCATTTGGGTAAAGAACTTACCTAGGACTCTGTCTATAAAGCAGAGACTGTGTGTTTCTTTGTTCAGGGAGAGGAAAAGAAGGGACAGTGCCACTGAGGTCTGATCCTCAAAATCTCTCCACTGTGTGTATGGCAAATATTATTCTCTGGCCTACCAGCAGCATACTGTTGGAACAGATCCAAATGCTTATTTACACAAGACCTTGGTATATACCTGAGATGTGAAAATATATGTCTATACAGAGACTTGTATGTGAATGTTCCTAGCAGCATTATTCATAATTGCCAAGAAATGGAAACAATCCAAATGTTCATCAACTATTGAGTGGATAAAGAACATCTAATATATTAGTCCAGTAGAATATTATTCAGCAATAAAAAGGAAGAAAGGAACTACGAATTACATGCTATAACATGGATAAACCTCAAAAAAAGTATATGGATTGAAAAACAGCTGAACACAAAAGACTGTATATTGTATGAGCCCATCAATATGAAGTGTCCACAACGAGCAAATCTATCCAGACAGAAAGCAGATTAGTGGTTTCCTGGGATTGGGAGTGGGAATGGGGATTGACTACAAACAAACATGAGGGATTTTTCGGAGGTGATGGAAATATTCTGAAATTGGATTATGGTAATGGATGTACAACTCTGTAAGTTTAAAAATTATTGAATTGTAGACTTAAAATGGGTAAATTTAGTAATATACAAATTATATCTCATAAAGCTGATTTTAAAAAACCTCCTGAGTGAACTAAACTAATTCTGACTTTTTGGGAAACTATTTCATACATTCTGTGCCTAGATGACCAATATTACATTCAAGACTTGTTCATGGACATATTAAAAATTAAATGTGCCTCGAAACACTTAAGATGAACACAGCAGGCTTCAGTAGTCAATGCCATGGCCATTCCAGAGAGAAAAGGTCCAAGTTTATTGCCTTGTAACTTTCTGGCTGCCTTCCATGAAAGGAGGCTGGAATGAACTTTGCCCTGGGGTGACACTCTTCCTTGTCACTGATTAACCTGCTCTAATAGAAGGCTGCCTGGTCAACATCCTGCTCTGCCTGAAGAGAGCTATCTGGCCAGGCTTTGGAGAGCAGAAAAAAATGTCCACTCGCTACCACCAAGCTGCTAGCGATAGCTACCTGGAAATCCTGAAAGAGGCTACCAAGCGAGATCTAAATCTTTCTGATGAAGATGGCATGACCCCCACTCTCCTGGCAGCCTACCATGGGAACTTGGAAGCCCTAGAAATAATCTGCAGCAGAGGGTAAGTTCAATCGGTGGTTTGGGTTGGAAACAGGTTTTTACACTAGTATTTTGTAGACAGCAGCAAGAGGCAAGGAAGTCAGTGCAAATACTTTGTCCTTCCTAGATTGTCTAAATAACCAGCTCTTTAGAGAAAGGAAGAAAACTATGCCTAGAGATGCTCTGTTTCCTCACTGAGAACTGGCACCCATGAGAGTGGCTCACCCCTTAGCCACATGCAGAGGAGAGACCCTGAACTCTAAGGCATTGTTTTCTGTGTTGGGGGAAGGGTTGGGGGAGGATAATTTAATTCTATGTCTTTAAAAATCTTTTGCATAAAATTTAAATAGTTTACTCTTTTAAAAGAGATCACTATTCTACTTGGTTGTAAGTTGTCCACCTTGGTTGGAACAAATGCTGTGCTTTTAATTTTTCATCTATGCCATTAAAATCCCACAGTCTTTTTATTAATGCTCAGCCCCAGTGAAAGCTCATGATTCTTGAATGGAGCTGCTGGTTTTACAAGCTATAAGACGGATCTTTACCATATCTTAACTCTCTTACCTCTCTGGCTAGCAGATATACACACACACACTCACACCTACAGCCCCTTCCCTCCCCCACAGATTTTAATAACAGGAGTTAACTATCTCTTTTCTTCTACTTGTTCTACCTGTTACCAGAGGGGCTAGGCAGTGTTGGCAACTATGTCTCAAATGGGGTAAAGAAAGAAAAAAAGAAAATGTAAATAAAAGAGCCAAGTGAATTCAATTCAATACATATTTATTTAGTATCTGTTATGTGCCAAAGTTATGGGATGCTTTTTTTTTTTTTGAGACAGAGTCTCGCTTTGTTGCCCAGGCTAGAGTGAGTGCCATGGCGTCAGCCTAGCTCACAGCAACCTCAAACTCCTGGGCTCGAGTGATCCTTCTGCCTCAGCCTCCCGGGTAGCTGGGACTACAGGCATGCGCCACCATGCCCGGCTAATTTTTTATATATATATCAGTTGGCCAATTAATTTCTTTCTATTTATAGTAGAGACAGGGTCTCGCTCTTGCTCAGGCTGGTTTTGAACTCCTGACCTTGAGCAATCCGCCCGCCTCGGCCTCCCAAGAGCTAGGATTACAGGCGTGAGCCACAGCGCCCAGCCTTATGGGATGCTTTGATCAACAGGAGAGACATAATCCCTATCAGGGTGATCAGATTTGAGAGGGGAAAATGAACAGGTTGTCTGTGATATGTGTTACAAAAGGGGAAATGGAAGGTGCTAAATCTCAATCTCAGGGGTGAAGGAAGGCATTCCTGAAGGTAAGGTGTTTAAGTTGGGTTTCAAAAGATGAGAAAGAGTTGGCTGGAAGTAAGTTTTCCCCAAGACAGAGCACTGTGCATCCTGGATACTGAAAAAGTTGACTATTGCTGGCCATGGCTTGAGGAGCAACAGGGCAGGTGTAAGAGGTAAGATTAGGTAAGGATTTGAACTTTATCCTAGGGGTCTAGGAAGCCATTTCTTGGCGGTATGCAGGGGTAGATTTACATTTACAGCATTTGCTCATGTCCTCTTGTAGTGGCCAGAGAGAATGTTTGGGGGCTGTTTTAATGGTCGAGATGGGATGAGTTGGACTAGGGTAGTCACAGAGGGAATGTCACAGATCTATGATTGGCATGACTGGCAATTTGGTTGTAGAGTTGATAAGGATTGACTGGATGTTGGAAGAAAAAGGAAGAGAAGATTCAAGGTCCCAGATTCTGGTTTCAGCAGGCTATGGATGCTGACAATCTTTTTTGAAATCAGGAACACTTCAGGGAACCCCTGGGTTCTTCTTACTCAGGGAGGTGCCTGAGTTGAAACTGAAAGAGGAAGTGAGGGGAGCAGTTCTTCCCCTTCCCCTGACACCCCCACCCCCACCAGTCAGCCTTCTCTAGATCTGTAATCTACACATCTCACCTCTTCTCCCACTCAGCCCAGGCTTCCCAGACTTTGTCCATCTACCAAAAGCATGCCTCCTTTCACAAACTGCAAGAGATCTGTTGCTCCAAAACCAGGGAGTGAGTTTGTCCTCTTAAAAGAGGGCTTGGAGTTTTTCTCAGTCCTCCGAGAGTTCTCGCTCCACTTGAAGTCCACTTTAAGTGGCAACACTTAAATCTTCTCTCTCCCTTCTTTGTAAGCCTGAAACGTTTTCTCACGATAATCATCATTCTGCTGGTCTTTAATTACAAAAGTAATATGAGGTGAACTCAGAAAATTAAACCACACATACACACACAAAATATGAAAAAAGTCCTATAGTGCCAGGCTGTTAACATTTTTTTGATATATTTAAAATATATTGTGTATATAAATATATACACTGTGTATAAATATGTGTATATGTATATATACCATGTCAACATAAATTCCATAATTTAATTTTCAGAGACTGCTTAGTATTCTAGTTAACAAATATATTTCTTAGTCAATCTCTCTCTCGACAAATGATTTGTTTCCCCTAGTTTAAACAGTAGTGTGATGATTATCCTTATACATAAATCTATGCTCATACTTTTGAGAATAAATTCTCCAAAGTGAAATTTCTAGATCAACTGGCATGTGTCCATTTGTACTGCTATAACAGAATGCCTTAGACTAGGTAATTTATAAAAAACAAAAATTTATGTCTTATAGTTCTGGTGGCTGAGACATTCAAGACCAAGGCACCAGCAAGCATGGTGTCTGGTAGGAGCCCAATCTCTGCTTCTAAGATGGTGCCTTGTTGCAGCATTGTCTGGAAGAGAGAAAGGCTGTGTCCTCACATGAAGACAAGAAGGAAGGGGCAAAAAAGAGACAAATTCCTTCTGTCCAGCCCTTATATAAGGGCACCTAGCCCCATCATGAGGGCAGAGTCCTCATGACTCAATCATCTCCTGAAGGCTACACCTCTTAACGCTATTAGAGATTAAGTTTCTTTTTTCTTTTCTTTCTTTCTTTTTTTGAAATAGGGTCTTGCTATGTTGCCCAGGCTGGTCTCCAACTCTTAGGTTCAAGCAATCCTCCTGCCTCAGCCTCCCCTTCCCCCTGGGTAGCTGGGATTAGAGGTGTGCATCACTGTGCCTCGCACATTGGGGATTAAGTTTCAACATGAATTTTGGAGGGGTTACAAACGTTCAAACAATAGCAGCATATGTGCAATTTAAAAACTTTTTTGTGTGTATTGACAAATTGTCCTTCAGAAAGTGAGGGCCCAGTTATGCCAATCTGAGAAGTTCAAAATGATGGATCAGTGTGGCTTTTTAATGTTCTTCTCTTTGGTTACTGATGAAGTTGAAAATTCTTTTTATGCTTAGTGGCCATTATAATTCCATTTTTGTGAACTGTGTGTTTATAACCTTGTCCTACTCTTACGTTGGGGTCTTCAACATTTTTCGTTGATTTAAAAAATGCCTTTTAAAGTTAACAACATCAATCAACCCTTTGTCATATACATCACAACTGTTTTCACAATATATAATTCATAGTTTTGACAACAGACATTTTAAATACAAACCTACCAATACAAACCTACCTATCTTTGCGATAGAATTCTAACTTTGAGGTCATGCCTAAAGAATGACTGATACTTTTTTTAGTACTTTTCTAGTTTCATTTTTTATTTTAAATATTTCATTCATATATAACTAATTTTGATTTAAGATCTGAAGTTATAATCTAATTATACATTCTCCAAGTGGTTAGTTATTTGTTTCAACACAATTAGTTATATAATTCATTTCTTTTTCCACTAATTTGACATGGTAACATAATTTCTTTCAATGTAATATCAAAATCCAGCCCATTCATTTATATTTATTAAACACTGGCTGTGGGCACAAAAATTCTTCAAACTCTGCTTTTCCTAGTCCTTCCTTCTAAACTCTTCTCATCAGTTCTAGTACATCTCAGAATTTTGTTTATTTCCTCCCAGAAGCATTTGAGATCTGCTGTGTTAAGTTGGCCTGGCATAGGCTAAAACAAAGGCTTGTGAGAATTTTTATAGATGACTTCCCTTTTTGAACATAGTCAATCCTAAGAACTAGTCTTGCCAATTAGATTTGAGGAGATTAAAAAGAGCAGAAAGTTAAAAATCAAATTTTGAAGCCCGTCAACTATTGAGGTTCATTTCAGTTTGCTGATTTGAGTGCTTATCTGTTGCTACCTGAATGATACAATGGATCCTATAGTAACCATTAATATCAAAACTCTGGCTTTGTTAGAAAACTTAATTTCTTTGTTAAATTTAAAGGTAGAAAACAATCATTACATTATAATCATTATCCTAGACTGGGAAGAATAATGGCCCCAATTACAAAAAATTTCATTTTGCCTTTAAAGTATGTATGGAATTTTGGGTTTTGTTTTATTTTCTAAAATGGGAATAAGTTTTTTCTCCCTAATTCTTAAAAGAATACATATTTATTGTACCATTTTGGAAAAATATATTGGAAAGATATATATAATAAAGCAAAAGTCATATTCTCACAGTCATCAACATTTGGGTATATATCCTTTCAGACTTTTTCCTTTGAGCCATGCATGCACGTGTATGTTTCTCTCCCATAAAAAGGCAGTCATAGTATATGAACTATACTAAAGGCTTCTAATTAATAATATATCATGGACCATTTGCACTTAAAATTTGAGATCTGTCAACAATAAGGATATACTTTAAAATAACTAAAAGAGTGGAATCGGAATGTTCCTAACACAAAGAAATGATATGTGCCTGAGGTGATGGATACCCCAATTACCCTGATTTGATTAATTCATATTGTATCATCACATATAAAGATATACAGCTATTATGTACCTGGAATAATTAAAAAGAAAAAAAATTGTGATCCATGCCACTATTTTCAATAACTAGATGGTATTCTGTTCTATGATTTCATTATTTATTTTTTAATTGGCAAATAAAAATTTGTATATTTGTGGTGCATACATGATGTTTTGAAATATTTAAAATTGCGGAATGGTTAAATCCAGCTAATTAATGTATACATTACATCATATCATTTTTTTTATGGTGAGAATACTTAAAATCTATTCTCAATGATTGAAAACTCATCAATCATCTTTCTTGAAATCAAATTTCAAGTATATAATACATTATTATTAACTATAGTCACCATGTTTACAATAGTTTTCCTGAACCTGTTCCTCCTGTTTAACTGAAATTGTGTATGCTTTGAGCAACATCTCAAGTCCCCAACTTCCAGCCTCTGATGACAACCATTTTCTACTCTCTGCTTCCATGAGTTCTATTTTTTTAGATTCATAGTTCTATTTTTTTAGATTAAATGAGATCATGCAGTATTTGTCTTTCTGTGCCTGGCTTATTTCATTTAACATGCCCTCCAGGTTAATCTACATTGCCAAAAATGACAGGATCCCTTTGTTTTTTAAGACTGAATAATATTCCATTATGTATGTATACCAAATTTTCTTTATCCATTCAATCATTGATGGACACTTAGAGAGTCCATAATATGTTTAAGCAGTTGCCTATTCATGACACCTTTTGAATCCAGTCTTTTATTGTGCCAGGAAATTTGAACCCCCGTATGCTTCCTCCAGCAGTGTTTTTTTCCCTACACTCCTGCCAAAATGGAGTATCACTATTCTTTTTAATCATCGCCTATCTGATGGGCAAAAAGAATGGTAGTGCATAGTTTTAACTTGTATTTCTTTGATTATTAGTCCAAATATTCATTCCTTTTTATGTAGAAAAAACATTTTTGAAAGAATGATTGTTTTCTGAGAACTTCACAAAAAAATCAAATCCCCTTCAGGAACATGTGCTCAGAGTAATTTAATTTTAAGCAAATTGCCTATTTAGTGACAATAATACCAAGGCAGCTTTAAAAATTATTGCCCAAATGCATTGATTTACCAAAAATCAAGGGTAAAATATGGATTATTGTAAAATCTCTTCAGTGAATTTCTCTTTTGGGGGAAAAAAAAGGAGTAGGAAAAATCAGCACGAGACTGAGTTTAGCCCAAGAAAACCATAGAGCATCAGTGTTGGACTCAGATCATCAAACAAGGGGGACTCATTTGTGAATACCTGGGCAGGTATGTGCAATTGTCTGATCAAACAATGTGAAAAATGACAAGGATTAAATTTAGAAGGATCATGTGAAACTTCTCAGTAGAAAATACTTTTGAGTTGTATTAAATTCGGAAGTCATCTGTAAATAGAATTTTTTGCAAGTGTAATAGCTTAAATGCACTAGGAAAACTCATCAATCATCTTTCTGCCAGTTTCATCTGTAAATTTGGAATTTTGCATTTGAAATTTTCTCAAAAGAAAACCCACTTTTAAGGTCATCTCAGATTTTCTTCATGTTCTGTCTCCCATTTTGAAAGCATCATTTAAGAGTGAGTGAAATGGGAAAATTCCACTACTCTATAGTCTTAAGTATATAGATTTTACCCAGACTTCCTAATACACTACTACATTCCTTCCACAGCTCATTCTTCCCAATAATTTTGTTTTTTACATATCCAAACCAAAGATAATTTTAGGCAAATTTAATCAGTATGTTTTTGTTTATGTTTATAGTAATGTCTTGGATGTTTCACAATCCCTCTTTGATGTCTAGGATACTTAATGAGTCTTTTGAATCTGGTGTTTGGTTAAAATAAAAAAAAAGTGAAACCACGTGTTTAGGGGTGAGGCACTGTGTTCCCCTAAGATGTAGGACTGTGCCAAGGTTGAAAAGGGTCTCCTTTCATCCAGAACAATTAAATCAGGCTGGTTGATCAGAGCCTTCTTGAAAGTTGTTGCCCAAGAAAACTGTTACTCAATACTATTTGCTTTCCTTAGATTCAATTTCATTTTCTTTCCTTTCCCTTCCTAGTCCTTTCCCTTATCCCCAACTCCATGAACTCTGATCACACTGATCTATACTCCTGGCTTCCCAAATATGACATATAATATCAGCCATCTGTGCATCTGCTTACACTGTTCCCTCTGCTCAGAAGGAGGTTGCCAATTGCTGGAGCTAGTCCACAAATGTGTTTTATTTGAGCTTCACTATATTTTTCTTTTAAATTTAAGCCAACACTTAAAAATTAAAAAAAAATTTCACATTAAATTCCAGATTTCTGGCTTTTTTTTAAAAAGTGGAAGCTCTGACAACATTGTTTCTGCTTTTATTCAAGGTAGCATCTGCCACAGCTGAGTTGTGGGTGTCCTCTCTAGATGGAGCATGCACTTGACTATGACCTTGTGGAAAAAACAAACCTGGCGCCATTCTGACACTTACATTACCTGCTTGGCTTCTTTGGGTTGGGTTGCTAGGAGATACAGATGATGCAAAGGAGAAAAAGACATAGGCGTTGCCTTCTAAGGCATGTTATCTAATTAAGGAGGCAGGGCATAAATATTTGACAAATTAAGACTATAACTGATATAAAAAAAACCCACAATAGCTATTGTGCTGCAGAAATTTACTAGATGTAAGAAAACATAAACATGAAATTAAGGATTATGAGTTTTGGGCACAAACGAAATGATATTAAGAATAAGCTATATTCATTGAATAGTCACTATGTACCAACCACTTTTCTAATGCTTTATGTGTATTAACTTATTTAATTCACATAACTCTATGAGTAGGTAATATAATTATCCTAAATTTACAGATGAGGAAACTGAGTCTTAGAAATGCTAAGCTTGAGGCCTTGTAGCAGGTACAGTGGAAAAGCTGAGTTGTACATTTGTAATGTTTGTGTTGGGATGATTAGACTTGGAGGCTGCTTGGTTCAAAGTGTGTTGCCTGTTACCCTTGGGCAAATCAGATAAGTTCTCTGAGTCTTACTTTACTCCTGTGATAACAATTCTTGCCTTCTTTCTCTAAGAGGGAGATGGTGATGGTTGGTGGCAGTGAATATGACAGTGTTTGGTAACTAAAGAGCCTGAGGCAGCCAGGGATTCCCTTGGAGCAGTTACAAATCTGACTCATCAAGCGATAGGACGCTGGTTGGGCCTCATTAACTAGTGCAGCTCTTCTCAACCTGTGGGGAGCCTACAGATCACCTGGAGATCTTGTTAAAGTGCATATTCTGATTCAGTAAGTCTGGCCTGGGGTCCAAAATTCTGCGTTTCTAACAAACTCCGCAGGTGATGCTTCTGCTGGTGGTCCGGGGACCAAACTTTGAGCATCCAGGAGCTAGCAGAGGGGTCGTGGTGCACTATCGGGTCAGTTGCAAGGGTGAGGGTCTTCTGTTTCTTCCTTCTACTCACCAGGGATGTTAAGAGGACTTCTCAGACTCACTGTCCTCCTTCCATGGGGACAGCTTGGCTAGAGTTTAGTGAGATCCTAATTTTGAGGTCTAGACTAGGGCAAGGGAAGATACGTTTTGGTATCTGTATAATCAGAGTCCTCAGCAGTGGCACGGTGCCAGAGCCACAGTCAAGAATAAATTATTACTTTTTATCTGTGCCTGTTTACAAGTCAAGGTCTCATGGGGGAAGAGAGCTTGTAGCCTGGGGCAGGATTCCAGTAGGGGTGTTCATTCATTCTGCAGATCTTCATTGAGCACCTACCACGCCCCTGTTTCTGTACCAGGCATTGGGTCTCTGGCCTTAATGTCTTCTAATAGCTCTCTCAATCCCACCTTAAGCTCTTGTAGAACTAGCACATATCTGATAATGACATCACATGGAAGTAAGTTTAGGAATAGAGAGTCTACTCTTAATGAATAATGATTGTAACAGACACTGTTTGCTACCTACCCAAAATCCAATCCTTTCTTCTTTCCTGCTGATAGAGACCCAGTTTTGTTCACTTATTTATTTCCCCTCATGTGATTCAGAGAGGGGGGTAGCAGTGGCATGCTAGAACCAGCTTGTGGGAGGTTATTGCTCAATTTTCAGGAAATGTGATAGTCACTTAAATATAGCCATTATTAAAAATAAAATTTTATAAACTTAGAATTTATTAAATAATATTAAGAGGGTAACACTCAAAACTCATCACTTCCTAATTACTTTACTACGTTTTATTACCTATGCTCTTAAGATTATATGTATCTATTAGATTTCTGTGGTAGAAATAACTTACAATGGTATATTACTGTGTATTTCTTCCAAACTCTGTGTACAGTGATATCATATTGGTAGCTTGAAATTTGCCACAGTGGACATATTAATACCACAGAAATTGGCACACAATATAAATCAGGGCTTTGATTTTTTTCCCTGAATGAGCCATTGGTTAAATGCTTATCACCATACCATTGGATTGTAGAATTACTGGACCCACCACTGGAAGCTAGCTTCAGGGGGAAATTCTAATTGATCTAAGTTAAGTATGGTACTAGATTTCCCTTCCCTTAGGCATATGACCTAGTTCTGACCAGTGAGACATAAAAGTTGGTCTGCTAGCGTTTCTTAGAAATCTTTTCTTGCTTTTGAAAAAGAGACACAGGGTAGAAATGGGTTCTTTCTGTTTCTGGCCATGTGGCATCTAGATGTAGCATGTCTGGACTTAGAGCAGGTTTTGTATAACAACCACATCAATGGAGGATGAACATGCTGCATTAACATGCATTCTGTTCTTTATTTTTGTTTCTATTTTTTGGACCTTATGTTCCAAGAAGAAAAGTTCAATTTTTTTTTTATATTTTCTCTTCTAGAGGGGACCCCGATAGATGCGACATCTGGGGAAATACTCCTCTGCATTATGCAGCCTCCAATGGCCATGCCCACTGCGTCTCTTTCTTGGTCAACTTTGGGGCCAACATCTTTGCTCTGGATAATGACTTACGGTCCCCGCTGGATGCTGCTGCCAGCAGGGAGCAGAATGAATGTGTCGCTCTCTTGGATAAGGCTGCCACGACTCAGAACATAATGAACCCCAAGAAGGTCACCAGGCTGAAGGAGCAGGCTCAAAAGAATGCCAGGAGGCAGATCAAAGAGTGTGAGAGGCTCCAGGAGAAGCACCAAAATAAGATGGCCCGCACCAGCAGCAGGGAGGGCTCCGGGACTCTTTCTTCTTCCAAGGGCACCTTCTCCAGTTCATCCCTTTCAAACGCTTCTGTTTCCAGCACATTCGGGTCACTGTCCAAGGGCATTAAAGATACTTTCAAGATAAAATTAAAGAAGAGCAAAGACACAGCAGAGCAGGTGGAGAAGGAAGGCAGAAGTGGGCAGAGGAATGTGATGGAAGTGTTCAGAGAGGAGGAGGAATACTCATTCTTAGGGGACTTCAAAGAGAAGCTCCAGTTCTCAGCAGAGGAGGACGGCGATGTGCAACATGAGTCCATTCTCAAACGTCCAGGTCTAGGAAGCATTGTTTTGCAAAGGAGCAGAGTACTAAGTCCTGAAGACATCTCAGACAGTAAGATGGAGTTGGGGTTTAAAATGCCCAGTGAATTGCTTCAAAGGCAAGGAGCAGCAGAGGCTGAGGAAGCTGAGGCTGACGAAGGGGGAGAGGAAAATGGCCTTGAAGATGATCTGCCTTGGGATGAGTGTGAAGTGGACTGGGAAGAGGATGTGGTTGATGCTACTCCCCTGGAAGTGTTCTTGCAGTCCCAGCACCTGGAAGAATTCCTTCCCATTTTCATGAGAGAGCAGATTGACCTGGATGCTCTGTTGCTCTGCTCTGATGAGGACCTTCAGAGTATACAAATGCAGCTGGGTCCCAGGAAGAAAGTTCTTAATGCCATCAACAGAAGGAAGCAGGTGCTACAACAGCCTGGGCACCTGGTTGACACCAGCCTCTGATGAAGAGTGTTGGGTCTATAGGGTGAGCCTGCTGGGCACTTAAAATTATAATTTCTCATCATATTAGCTTGCTTCTTACTTTCTTATTTGTACAGCCTGGGGATTCTAACTCCAGTTCTGTCCTTAGCTCTATGACTTTGCCCATTGGTGGAGACTAAAATTCCTCATTGGCCTGAGACTTGATGTCTACTTAAATGCATCTAATCCTTTAACAGATGTTTATATGTTTACAAGTAATGGAGATGGGTCTATAATACTCCTGCCTGAGAACAGAGACAGACTGGCAGGTAGGAAGAATGAAGAAAGAAATAGAATATGGGGTAACTGTTATGGACTGAATTTTGTCCCTCCTGATTCATATGTTGGAGCCCTAAGCCCCAATGTGACTATATTCGGAGATAGGGCCTTAAAAGAGGCCATTAAGATTAAATAAGGTCCTAAGGATGGGTCCCTAATCCCAGATGAATGGTGGCCCTATAAGAAGAAGAAGAGAAACCAAGGATAAATGCTTAGAGGGAAGGTCATGTGAGGACTCAGTGAGAGGGTGACATCTGCAAGCCAAGGAGAGAGACCTCAGGAGGAAACAAGTGTGCCAACACCTTGATCTTGGACTTTCAGCCTCCAGAGTTGTGAAAAAATAAATGTCATTTAAGCCACCTAGTCTGTGGCATTTTGTCATGGCGGTCCTAGCAGAATAATACAGCACCTAAGCGAGGCGGGGGGGGGGGAAGCAGAGAAAGAAAGATATAGGAAAAGAAAAAGTCTCCCTATTGATGATCTTTCTAAGGGCGAACACCTATGGAAACTTAAGAAAAGGAAAAAGAAATGTAGGTTCTTTGGAGGGGAGATTTGCTTGTAAAAGTAAATTTTACCTTTCTGTGCTCATTATGTACCTATCTTTTATTTACTGTTGTCTATGACTACTGCTGCCTGTCTGAACACATGTAGGTTCCACGACATGAACTGGCAACATTGGTGCTGACATTTTTTGAAGGGCAATCCCAAAGTCAAATTGAAACCCTACTGAATAGCTAAGTTTACTGTTGATTTATGTGTGTAATAAAGAAGCAGCTGTTTATTTTCAGCATGCTTTCTGGTTCACATCTGTTTGCATTACTTCTAAAAGGCACCATGGAGGGTATAAGCTTAGGGAGGATGCAGATGCTCAAGTCTGATGAATAATTGGCTCATTCTTCCACAATGGATAGATTCAGAAAGCTTATTAGTCATTGAATAAATATGTTGCATTAAGGAATGATTATGTTTACAAATACTGTATTTTTTTCTGGAATAAACAGAAGTTGTGCTTGCCTTCATTAATGTGAACAGAAGTAGTTGGCATATATAAGGCACTCGAAGTGTGTACGGTGAGCCTGCCTCTATTTTATTTAATATTTCATTATCATCGATGCCAGGACCCCTTCTTCACATATTGTTCAGAATCTGCCTAATGAAACACTAGTTCTACTTCCTGCCTCAACTTACATAACAACAAGACAGTCATCAGGTTAGTAGAAATGAACCTGAACATGCGACTCCCATCCCTTTTTGTGAAATGCTTGTTGCTGGGGGTCTCACTGGGCCCTTTTAGGCTCTTCTAATGCAACCTATTTATTATGGATTTGGAGCCCAAGGCAATGATCTGGGCTGGTAACTAAGATTTAGGAAATTATGAGCATGTAACTGTCCTCGCTACCCGACAGCCTGAAATGTAAGCACAAGACGCCTTTACCACACTGTAACTTCTCAAACCCCTCTTTTTAGTGAAATGCTCCCAGCTGCTTTTCCTTCTTGTTGACTTTTATGTCAAGATACATAATGGGGGCAAAAGCAGGGCCAGGAGCTGGGAGGAGCAGGGAGATCAGATGTCATTGGATCGAGTGATTCTAAGCATCTAGTTGAAGGAATGGAGTCTGAGATCAGTGAGTATTTGAAACTCATCCTGGCACGTTGTCCTCTTGTCTTTGTCTCTCATCAAGGCCTTTATAGTGTTCTAGCACTTTCTCTTAGGCCTCGTTAGTTAGAGTTTAGTTTGAAAGATCTGGAAGTACTTCAAACTCAATGTGTGCAGAACTGAACCCATTTTCCCCCAAGTCGACAGTTCTCAAGCTGGGAGATTTTGCTCCCTGTGCCCCAGAGGACTTCCGGCAATGTCTGAGACATTTTTCATTGTCCTGAGATGGTGGGGGTGGAGGTGGTGAGTGGGTAGAAACGATGGATGCTGAACATCCTACAATGTATAGGACTGCCTCCCCTGACAATGAATTATCCAGACCTAAGTGTTGATTGTGCTGAGGGTGAAACGCTCAGCTCTAAATATCCATTTTTCATAAATGGAAAGTTTAACCCAACACTTCTTTTCCTTTCTTCACCCAATTGGGCATTGAGCCCTTTCAACTTTTTAATGTGTCTTAAATCTAACTCCTCTTCTGTGTTTATAAGACCAGTGGTCCCCAACCTTTTTGGCACCAGGTTTCGGTTTCATGGAAGACAACTTTTCCATGGACCAGGGGGGAGGCGGGTGGGATGGTTTGGGGATGATTCAAGCACATTACATTTATTGTGCAGCCAAACCTCTCTGCTAATGATAATCTGCAATTGCAGCTGCTCCTCAGTGCTGGCATCACCGCCTCAGCTCCACCTCAGATCATCAGGCATTAGAGTCTCATAAGGAGCAACCTAGATCCCTCACATGCACAGTTTACAGTAGGATTCACGCTCCTATGAGAATCTAATGTCACTGCTGATCTGACAGGAGGTGGAGCTTACAGAGTGATGGGAGCGATGGGGAGCAGCTGTAAATACAGATGAAGCTTCGCTTGCTGCCCCACTGCTCACCTCCTGCTGTACGGCCTGGTTCCTAACAGGCCATGGACCGGTACTGGTCTGAGGCCTGGAGGTTGGGGACTGCAGTGCAAGACCACCTCTTGGTTCATGCCTCCATCATCACTCACTTGGACTGCTGTACGTATCCTTCTCTGTCACTCATTCTTCACAGTGCTGGTTGGGTAATATTTTTAGCATGCAGATCTCCTGTTGTCACTTTCTACCTACCCGTTATTTTTTCAGACTCTCCCTGCCACACACAAGTCCCTCAGATTGGAGAATCCTGTTCTGTCCTCTAAGCCTCTGGTTTCATCTCTGACCATTCCTCTCTCTGTCCCCTAATTGCAGCCATACCAGATTTCTTGTAGCTTCCTGAATATACCTTGTCTCACATATGCCTGTGTCTTTGCACAACCATCCTCCCTCTGCTTAGAAAACCCTTCCTCCATGCAGCCATCCTCCCTGGGAGACTTACCTTCTCTCTCCACCCCTAGTGTGTGTGGAGTACTTTTCCTAGCTTTCCAGGCCATTTTGAAAATTTCTCTCTACTATTTTCCACCCTGCTCTGTGTCCCAGGTGGTTGATCTCTGGGGACTGCATCAAAGGGCTCCTTTGCTCCTGGGCTTCTGGCTGGGTTTGGCCAATGAGAGTTACCAGCAAGAGACCAGAGAGTGGAAGAGAGAGAGACTGGGGCATTTATTCCTCTTGCTACTTCCCTATTGGGCAGCAGCTGCCTTCTGTCATCTGAACCCACACCTCCCACCTGGCAGCCCTGTGCTACAGCTCCAGTTCTTGCTGGGTTCCACTAACTGCACTTTCCACTATTGCTAACTTTGCAGTGTTTCTTCCTAAATAGCGTCCTCATTAATTTCTCTTCAATCACGCCTTTTGAGTGTGGCATCTGCAGACGGTCTCCAACTTCATGATGGTTTAAATTATGACTTTTTGACTTTACGATGGTGTGAAAATAATATGCGTTGAGTAGAAAGTGGTAAGACACTCTCTCTGCATGCTGGGCAGTGGCAGCGAACCACAACCACACAGTCATGAGGGTAAACAGCCAACACTGTACAGTGTACTGTGCTGCTAGATGATTTTGTCCAACCGTGGGCTAATGAAAGCATTCTAAGCACATCTTAGGTAGGCTAGGCTAAGCTACAATGTTTCATAGGTGCATTAAATGCATTTTGGGCTTACAGTATCTTCAACATAGGAAAGGTCTGTCAAGACACAACCCTGAGTTGAAGAGTATTTATTTTTCCTGCCATGACCCTTGCTCATATGTTCCTGTAACACCAAAGCGCTGTACTGTAATTGCTTTTTAAAGAATGTTTGTTTTCCCTTCTGGACTATGTGTTCTTTGAGGGTGAGGACTATTTCTTTTCTGTTCTATCTGAGTAGCTGGGCATAGAGTTATGATAGGGGCTCTTGTGCAATGAATGAAAGGAGAAATATATAAATGAATATTCTTATCATCCCTTATGTACACATCCCTTAAGGTTGTAACTATTAAGATTCCCAGAAAGACTCCTCAGTCACTTGAGATGTACAGAATCAGATCACGTGGGTATTTATTTCAGCGCAAAGGCTCCTGTCCAGACAGCCTGGCAAACATGACAAACATTTGGCTGAGCTACCTGGAGCATGAAGAGGCCCTGTCAGGAGGAGTATGAGTAGGAAAACAAAGCAAAACAACATGCCTTGCTTTGCAGTGGACTTATCTGATAACCATCCTGGGGGTGGGGGTGGCATTTGAACAGGGCCTTTGGCAGGACAAGAGCAACACAGCTCTGCTAGTGATTCAGGGGCCCGGGGAAGGCATCTCTGCACCTCAGTTTCCCCATCTGTAAGTTGAGGTTGGACTAGATGGTTCTTAATGGTCCTTGCAACACTGACCCTATAGTGGACATCTGTGGATTTTGCCTTTCAAATATCCAGTCCTCTGTGTTTTTGGTAAGAGATGCTTCCCTTCTGTCAGCTCATGTGCTCAGATGGGCCAATTCCACTCCTGACTTCAAGGGTGGGTACCAGATCCCCCTGGATGGTGTGGTGATTCAGGGATAGGCACATGGCCCAAGCCTGGCCAAACAGAGTGTTCCATTTCTTTCAGCCAGGAGGTTAGGCTCAGGAATGGGCATGTGATCTCAGTTCTGAGATGTTTAACTGTGACGGGAGAAAATCTTTATTTATGCCAGGATTGCTCAAGAGGACATAATTCAGGAGCTGTTGGCAAGTGTCCTGCCATGACAAAGGGAGAACTTGCTTGAAATAATGGAGCCAGTGCTGCAGAAAACGGGACCGAGGGACAGAGAGAACCAGACTGGGCCCTAATGACACTTGGAGCCCCTGGATACAGCCATACCTGAAACCAGGTACCTGTGTACTCCTTAATTATAAGAGCCAGTAGATTCCATTCCCTGCTTATGCTGCTTAAAGTAGTATGAGTTGTGGTCTCCCCCATTTGTGACCAAAGGAGTCCTGACCCTATATGTAGAAACCCACTGTTCCTTTAAATTTTAGTTATAAGAAGTCAGACACAAAAGGCTACATATTATATAATTCCATTTATAAGAAATGTCCAAAAGAAGAAAATCTGTAGAGACAGAAAACAGTAGTTCCCAGGACCTGGGAAGAGGGGGAAATGGGTAGTGACTGCCAGTGGGCACCAGATCTCTTTTTGGAGTAATGAAAATGTCCAGGAATTAGATGGTGGTGATGGTTGCACAACTCTGCAGATACTAAAAAACCCCACTGAACTGCATACTTTTAAACAGTGAATCTTGTATGTGAATTATATCTCAATTTAAAAAATTGAAAAAAAATTTCATTACAGTCATTGGAGTTCTCCCAGGAGCAAAGGGAAGCCCTTGACCCCTCTCAACTTTCCTTGCCATAAGGAACAGAGGTTAGCAAAGCAAACACTGACGAATTGGAAAATGCTTTATTTGGGGGAAATACAAAAGGTAGTGCCGTACAAGGGAAAGAAGTGCTACTGGTATAACAGAAGAAATGGTTACCTAGTTTGGTTGGTAATGGTTATCTGACTATAAATGTGAATGGGGATCTCAGTGTTGAAGGTAGAACATGACAAGCACAAAACTATAGTTTGGCAGGGACTGGATTCCTTCATTTGATCTCAAAACTATGAGACAACCAGTGGCAACATCCCTTGAGCCGTAGCATCCGTCTCAACACAAAGTTCCTCTGTTTCATTTGCCAGATGACCAGGCATCATACACTAGTTTGGCTGCAACTGTGTCTTCTATTGCCATTCCTGGAATGGACAGAAATTTGGTTCGCCTTTTGTCAGAACAACTCTCCCTGAAACCCCCCAGGCCCTGTGGCTGGCAGTTCTCTGACGCGTGTCTGTGTCGATGCCTGGACAGGATAATAGGGCTTGGTTCCCCAGAGGTGAGCTCAGGCTTGGATGGTCTGTGAAGCGCACATCAAGGCAGGGAACGTGATACTGAGCAAGAAATCCCTGCCCCTCCCACCCAAACAAATTTTGTATACTTCAAGGTCTAGTTCAGGAGTCAGCAAACTTTCTGTAAAGGGCCAGACAGTAAATATTTCAGGCTTTGTGGGCCACATGGTCTCTATCATAATTATTCAACTCTACCCTTGGAGTACCCATAAGCAATAGGTAAAAGAAATTAGCCTGACTGTGTTCCAGGAACACTTTATTTATAGGCACTGAAATTTGAATTTCATATCATTTTCATATGTCATAAAATATTATTCTTTAGTTTGAAAATGTAAAAAACATTTCTGGCTCATGGGCCATGTGTTTCTAGCAGTGGGCCCGGGTTTGGCCCACAGGCTGGACTTTGCTGACGCCTGGTCCAGTTCAAACCCTGTATCCTTCAACATCTCCTCTTTGTCTTGTGGATTTGGATACACACCTTAACCCCTGCACCCAGCACAGAGATGTAATAGGTGCTTCATATGTGTCTATTATATCAGATGAAAGGATGTGCCAACAAACCAATCCTCACAAGTGAGAAAACAAACTACTTGAAAGGGAAGAAGCAGGTTTCTGCAGTACTTTGGCTCCTTAGGGTTAGGCTGGTTGATCTCTGATCTGCTATGAACTCTGAAACATTCGTACACAACTGGATCAGTGTGATGTCTTTGAATGGGGCTCTGGATAAAGTTTATATTGCCTTTTTCCTGTCTTCCAGAGCATGAGAGATTTTAAAAATATTTAACCACAAAGCATGGGAGCTAACCAATGGCACGGGTGCTGAGTGGCCAGAGCCTTCTCAATGTTCTGCCAGGCATTAATGCTCTCATTCATTGCTTGATCATGAAGAAGTGTGGAAGGTCTTGAGAGAGTGACAGGGCACTCTTGAGGGGTTCAGGGTAAGAGCTATTTAGCAACTAGGTTGTAGTGTTTCAATTAGGTGTATCAGCTGAATATCAGCTCTCTTCCCATGTACTTCTGTTTCCTTAAATCTGGTGGAGTGGGAGAGTTGGGCCCAGCGGCAGACCCAACCCTAGACTAGCCCACCGTTTGTTGTGTTTATACTTTCTACAAGGTTCCCCATACAACCCAGGAGGTATGGGGCTCCCCACGGAAGCCCTCCTCAAAGCAGCAGGTGAGGGGAGCAGGGAAGGAGGGAACAAAGACATCTCAGGATGTACTTCCTGTCTGAATCTCTTT